TTACTACTACTATATATATATATATATATATATATATATATATATATATATATATATATATACACATAAATTCATACCTATCCAATTCCGATATGCTTACCGAATTAATTACTGGAATCGAATTTATCTGTCCGACCCTGTCTGTCCGACGGAATAATTATTTTAACGCAGATAAGATATTCATATATCCGTATCGGATAATGAATCACGAAAAATACGAAATAGAAAATGTGCGATAATGACTAATCGAAAAATATAACGTAATGAAAATTAAATATTACCTTGTATGTAATATTTAATTTTTATTACAGACGTCGAGAAACATTTGTGTTCGAAAGAGCGAGACAATGGCGCGTGGCCTTGATACTTTGTTTACAACCGACGGGATATTGTGTACGCGCGCGCAACGCGCTATCCATTCAAGCCGACAATTCTCGTACGAGTGTTGCGTATCGCTCCGCGTATCTTTGCGTTTCTTTTTCAAAACGAAACGTCGCGACGAATTCTGAATGACACAGAACGTCGATCGTTTATCTCACAATAAACGTCGTTGATAACTCGCACTGTTACGACTTTGTCGTAACGGATTCACACATATCAAAAGGCGACTTGTTTCGTTGAATATTCCGGACGGCGGAAATGACTCGTATCCATTGATCGGCGCCTGTTTTTTGGAAAACGTAGTAGATAATTCATAACTCTTTGTACGACGGGTATTGTCTTAACGGAAGAACTGCGTATCTCGAAGGATTTTATTTAATGGTTGAATCCGAATCCTTCTAATGTTAAACATTTTGAAACATTTTCACGAATTTAAATATAATTTGCATACCATTTTATAGTACGTGTAATGACAGTTTATCGTAATAAATGAAATACATAAGATACATTTATTTCTATCTAAATAGAAATATATTCTATCTAAGCATCATTCTATCTTTATTATTCATTATACGCCAAAGAAAAATAGAACAATGCTTACAAATGCGTGAACACTCAACAAACGCATCCGAAAGCAAATGTATGATACGGATCATTAAAAATTATTTAAAATGTAACAATTATATCATTTAATATTCCGAAAGATATTATCGAAAGGTATTGTAACGCTTTGTGAAAATTAAATTTTGTTCGTAGTAGTGTTATGAATATTTCGTCGTAGTCAGATTATTGTTGTTGTTGTAGCCTTGAGTTGTGCTTGCGCGCCGCGACTGATACGTCATATGTTTACGAGCGCGCACGTGTTTACGAGCACGTGTTTACGAGCGTTCCAACGCACTATCATTCATTCACCGACGTTTATACGGAGCAGATAGCAAAGCACGCTGCTCCGCATTTCTCCGTATTTCTTCGATACTGAATGATAATATTGTTCTATCTTATAGATAATACGGTAATGCTTATTAACCGATATGATTAACAATTTATAAGTATATCGAAATAACGACTCTAATGAAATATATACATATTTCAAGTGACTTGTCTCTTGGAAATTCATCAATTTTTTAACTTTAACCCCTCTAATGGGCCTTGGTGTGGCAGAGGGGCTCGGTATTCCGAGGAATTCTGTTGGCTTTCCCAATGGAATCCCAAAGACGAAGAAGTAAAGAAGCTAACAGTACCCATTGCACCGTTATTAGTAATATTAATATTAACGTTAGATAATATTACTGTTATTAGTAATGTATTAACATTAGCACAGCTATGAGTAGTTCAATGGCTCTTATGTGGCACATGCGTTTCACGCATTAATCGATCATTGTTTTTCCGCCGCCGATTTGATTGAACAAACGAACCGCAGCCAGTACGTCGCGCCGCGCGTTTGCTTCGGGAGTGCCGTAATCGGATTAAAAGACTTTTCTTCATCCTGCGAGGCTCGTTTGATAAATATCATAGATCGTGCCGGGAGTCGTACTGCCAAGGGATGTAGGGAGCACGGGATCTCATTGAGACGTAGCCGGCTGTGAATGTTACACGCACTCGCATGTGTTTCATACAGTTGCAAATTGCATTAAACGGTTAATTGAGAACACGCTCTGTCTTCGACAAAGTGGTTTGGTCCCAATCGGCAAGATTCCAATCGGGATTCCAAACTTGTTTTTTCGTCGCTTCTCTTAATTTCTTCTTTTCGACACAACAGCATTGCCACGAGTCGTGAAAGGGCTCCTATGTGGCGCGTGCGATTTACGCACTGATACACGCGGTTTTTTAACCGATTTTTTATCTTTTTTTTCCTTTCCTTTATAATTCCTAACAAATCGCGTTTAATCTGAGCTTAATCAGAGCTTAGTTCAAAATATTTTTATAATATATATTTCTCCATATGAAAACAGAAATAAAGATTACAGAAACAGAAAAGATATTCACATTTTATATCAATATATAATAAGAATATAAATGAATATATTATATGTATTTTTTGTTTACCTATCTCCTCTCTTCCTATTTTACCAGAATTAAATATCTAAATCGGTGCATAAAAGATATATATATATATATATATATATATTTAGAAAGTTTTTAATATATGCTACAAACATAAATGAACGATTAACAATAATAATAAATTATATAATAAATGTGCCGATTTGATCCTAATCATGTATAATTTATCCATCTATATTAATTGATAATTTGGCATTACATAAATTAAAGCAAAATTTAAGATGACGTGAGAGATAAATGTTTTATCTCATGGAATATAATTGATTATAAATTATTAATTTACTTTTATTTAAAATACATTTGTCGTATATTAAAATCTTTGTAAGTTTATTTTTAATTTAAATTCTGACTTAATAGTATTGTTAACATATCATATTAGATTTTCTCATTTACATATTATATTTGTTTATTAAATTTATTATTACTCATATTACTGTATTTGATAAATTATGTAGATGTATACAATATCTGCTATTTAGAATTTATATTAATATCATAATTTGTAAAATTATATATTGCGTGATATTGGCACGCTGATTATGCGAGAAATTTATTATCTCGCTCGAATCTCACGTCATTTATTTTGAATTTTATATATCGTTATCACCATTTATATAGTGAGATTTTTTATAACGATTTTAATTGTACGTGAATAATACAGACGAACAGCATGAGCCTTCGATTTTTTTGGATATTTTTTTGAATATCTATTATTAATTATGTAGATTATAATCGTTTTTATTTTCATTTTTCTATTTCTATGCAATATCTTTAACTTATTAAATTTTTAAAAATTCTATTCGTAATATATAATTCAATTTTTCTATTTTAAATCGAAGAATAATCACGCATATTGCGTAAAACCATAACAATATTAATATATTAACTTTAAAAATCGTTATCACAAATTTTATATTTTATTTATGTTTAAACGGCTCTCGCGATCGATACGACTTTATAATCGACGTGTAAAAATTAAGTAAAAAATCTGCCGGCATAATTAACCGATAATTGAAGGAATATATCTCTTTCCTCATCTCTGACTATATGTGGTCAGAATTTTTAGCTATACGATAAGAATCTCTGGCCAAATTGACTATGGAGCAACCAGGAACAATGAAATTTCAACCTGGCCTGAAGAATCACAAAAGATTAATTAATATCAAATGGGTAAAAATGAGTAAGTACTGAGTTGGTAAAAATTTTTATTTATACGTGCGATTGCACATAATTATGGGAGGGAATGATAAAATACTATCTACTATCTGAACATACATTTTTAGATATTAGTTGAATTCCTTTCCTACATTTCTCATTTAATGATTGCAAATTAGGAACTCTGTTGGATTAGCCAGCATAAAATAGATATTCGATTAGATAGGAAGATTATGAGAAAATTCACGAGTAGATAGAGATATTATTAAAATTCGC